CTGCAAGGTGGCAATGTCCAGTGGAAACTAAATGAACTGCGACACAATAAGAGGTTCTGAAAGTGCTGTAATGTTTGTGTGATCACTGCTTACAGAAGGTTGTCACAGACCCAAATCACTATTGCTTTATTGTATTTTCCCATTTGCCAAATATCTTAATGTAGTGATCATTTCTGGCGTTATGGCATTCCTGCGCTGTGTCGGAGATATTAGCGTGTCTCTAATAAGATCAGTCACAAACATGATCACTGCACAATCTCATCTATAGCGTCTTATTAACTCACTGTCGTCATCTATTGTCTGCATCACATTTCTTCTCCCTCTTCATCGTTCTGTCATTTTCTCCTCTGCTAAAGAAACTCTTAAGCCTCTTAAAAGTCCTCATCCATACTCCTAACAATTTTGACCTTAAGACCTCTTTTAAGGGGTAAGATGCTTTCTGAATTACTTTTTTCTTTACTAGGATTTTTTCTTTAATTTTAAGAGTAAACGCCCACATTTCTAAGAATTTTCTTAGAATTTTGTCACTAGGAGCTACTTTTTACATTAAGATTCTTTAGGAATACGGGCCATGATGTTTGTCACATATTAGGAATATTTTATGTACAGTATGTAAATTCTACCTCTTTATGACAGTAGGACAAATTGAACAGATTGTATTGCGGTTCCTCACCAGTGTTGGGCAGTAACGCATTACTTAGTAACGCGTTACTGTAATTTGGTTTCTTTTTTAGGAACGGAGTAATGTAACGCGTTATAATTTCCAAAATAGTAATTAGAGGAAAGTTCCAAGCCCAAGTTACTATACGTTACAGCTGTGTTATATCGCTGCCGACAGAATGCGGTGTTTTATCATCTAGATTGTAAAAAGAGAAATAGCTTTTTCGATGCCTGCCTGTCGCACAAAAACAAAAAACTTTAGTCATTTTTTGAGTCTGTGACGTCATCTACCCGAGACCTACTTTGAATGGTAAGAGCTTGTGCGGCGGGTAAACCAACGAAAACAAACTCAGCATGGAGTGAGAAAATTACGTGTTCTGTAGCTGGAAATACAATCATTATTTTGAGTTTATTTCTGTCAACGGTAAGAACATTATTGTGCGCTGTCAATTATGTGGGGGGAAGAAACCTTTTCAACTCCGAAAAGCTTGACATCTAATTTAACACGCCTGAAAGGGCAGGACAGCACGGTAAAACTTCTCGAGAAAGTATCGGGCGCGGAGAGCAATGATCGCGTCCAGTCCAAATATAAAAATGTTTGAAAGTTGGAGTTAAAAGTCAGAAGAAACTGACTTAATTTTGTTTGTTGCGAGATAGAGTATGCACGTCCCAATAAAGTTAATTCATGAGCAGGCTAAAGAGGTTATTCTGTATTTTTTTTTTTTTTTTTTTTTTTTTTTTGAGGGGGTGGGGTGGGGGTGGGGGGCTTGTAACGTAACTAGTAATGTAACTAATTACTTTTGAAATAAAGTAATCAGAACAGTAACTTGTTTACTTTTAAAATGAGTAATCAGTAATTTAATTACATTTTCAGAGTAACTTGGAGAACAGTGTTCCTCACAGCCTCATTTTAATTTGCAACCAATTAAGTTGCGGCATCTACTCTCACTAAGGGCCGTGTTGGTATTTAGTAACTCACATGTTGTGTGTCTGCCTCCGTAAGGTGTTTCGGCGGTAACTGATGTGTTCAGCGTTAGCTTTGGGAATTGGCTCCCTCGAGGCTGCGGTTAAATGAATAGTATTTGCGTCTACGCGGTGGAACAAGCGAGGTGGGTCTGGCAGTGATGGGTGGGGGTGTTTTGTGTGAGCATAAAAAACGACGAAGGGGCAGCACTTCATCAGAGAAGTGACTGTATTTCATTACAGTCGCTGATGAACTGTATCAGTGGCGCTGTCTGTAACTGAGCGATCCAGAGGAATAAACTCCCACTACGCATGCATTTATGTGTGTGTATTAAAAACAGAAAACAAATGAAAACATAAGACAGACTGTCCTCAGCACTTTGGGCCGCATCTCTCTTTATATTTTTAATCGAGTGGGAAGCCGCACTGGGCTCCATCCAGATGGGCCTTTATCAATTTATATATATAAAAAAAAAAAAAAAAACGATGTGTGGGACCACTGGCTCCCACAACATCCATCACTTGTAGGAACAACAAGCGCATTAGAGCGCTTTCTGCTGACCGAATCCTAGACTCAGCCCTGGCTCCTGGGGAGAAGGGTCAGTCTCAGAGAGAAAGAAGTAAGAGAGAAGCACTCATGCCATGAGGGAAACCAGGGGTGGTATTCACAGGGGTCAAGTGCTTACTTTGGTGTTTTCTGTGTTTTCGTTTCAAAAGTACCTTCCTGAACTGCTAAATTTAAAGGGATAGTTTGCCTCAAAATGTAAATGCTGTCATCATTTACTCACCCTTATGTTGTTCCAAACCTGTATGAAAATGCTACGGTAAATTAATTTATTATGGATAAGTCCCCTTACTATAGGCTATACGATGCAAAACCATAGATCTAATGGGACATATAATGTAATTTTACAGTAAAATACAGTTTAAATGGTCAGTTTTTAAACCATAAATTGACATTACCATGATTTCCTGACACTTGATATTTGATGGTTCTACAGTTATGTATATTTAACGGTTGTTAAATGAATATTTATTGCATTATTTTATTAGTATTGTACCTCAGCTTGTGGTAAAGCTAGTTATGACGAACTTTGATTCATCATGTGGCTTTCTCTTCACCACTTGTGTGCATTATATAGTTACAAACATATTTTAGTACTTTTGTTATATTAACATCAGTTAATGAAATGTTTTTTTACTCTAAATTTCGAGTTCAATCCGAAAATGTTTAAATGTTTCTTCCATATTGTTTTATGTTCTGCATAAGAAAGAAATTCATACAGGTTTTAAAATTTTTGAGTGAACTAGGCCTATCCCTTTAATGTTGCTTTCTCATGCAGATGTGGCGATTTGGCAGGAAAAGCCCCCTTTCTCTTCCTCCTCTTTCTGTTCCTGATGGCATTGCCACTGCTAAACAGCTGTCAGCAGACACCTGGCAACTGAGAGATGTTTAACACTTAATGGGCCACCGTTGAAAGATCTGTGTGCTCCTGTGAACATGCGTGCGCACATACGGCGCTCGTTTCTCATGGTGTTGCATGATATTTTAGCATAAGCTGCAGGGCAGGATTTAAAGATTCCTGAGTGTATTTGGGTTAGTCTGCAAGCTCTAACTTGTGGATGTTAAGCAACGGCTTGCGTGTGGGATGAGGAGGGGGATGTTACATGATCAGCCCCATCGCAAAGCGGTTTAGATGACGTCTAATGGCCGAGTCCCAAAGTAAAGTGTGTGTGTGGATGTTTCAGATAGGTTGTTTGGGATTATTTGGTCTTAGACTGGGTAAGGGCTGAATGTGGTGTTTGTGTGTGTTAAAAGTGTGTGTGATCAGGATGATGGGGATTATTAGCTCTGAGCTGGAGTGCTGCTGGTCTGAGTGGGGCTTTCACCTTCTGAAGTCCTGCCGGCTTTACACTCTCTCCCTACAGGAATTTTGGCACCGATATGCCACACACGGCATCTTTGAGTTTGAGCTGTTTCCTGCAGTGAAAATGCCGTTTCTCACTGTGGTGTGTGGTTTTTGCACTGGCTGCTTTCAGCCAGGCCCTGCAGGGTTCCTGTGTGTGTGAGAGGGAGACGCAGTGTGTTGCGTGTTGGCCGTAGCTCATTGGACGAACAAAATGTTCACACCTCTGTGGGTTTGACTTCATAACCTACCCTATTTTTTCTCTTCCATATATACACAAACATAGAGGAAGTATAAATATACCAAGTGGGGGTTTTTTTCTCCTGAAAGAGTGATGTTTGTACTTCCTACTGTGTGACAAACTGCTCATGTTAAAGATAGACTGGTGTTTACTTTTCTCAGCACTCGGATCTTAGATGTTCAATCTCACGCTTTCAAGGTTATGATGTGACTCATGCTTTTCCTGTCCAGCTGCATTTTTAAAATACAAACATTAACGTAACATTAACATATCATCGCTCTGTCACATCTCTACCTGCCTTTTTTAGGTCTTTAATTTTGGACTATTATTCATGCCGTTTTTAAAATCTATCTGTTCTGAGTTCAATACAAGTTAGCCTAAACTCTTTGAACATTGTCTGACTGTGACCATACCTGATTACCAGAGAAAATAAATTTGTCTCATACAACAGTTTGTTAAATCAAACAAAAACACTAATGCCAAAATGAATATCTATTTTTCATACTGTAGTGTACATTTAATTTATTTAGGAAAAATATTATATAATTTGAGTGTTGGCTATTTGTCGGTTATTGACCAAAACATGAAATTGTACCTATACTCACCAAGTACTTCTGAATATATTTTAAAATGTAATTTATTCCTGCCCAATTTTCAGCAGCCATTACTCACATGATCCTTCAGAAATCATTCTAATAAGTTGATTTGCTGCTACATTTTCTCTTATCAATGTTGAAAACAGTTGTGTTACTTAATATTTTCCTGGAAACCGTGATGCATTTTTTTCATGATTCTTTGAATAAAAAGTTCAAAAGAACAGCATTTACCGGTATTTGGCATGTTGTTGGCATGACTGACAATTTTCAACTCCTATCATGACCATTTTTGCAAGTTACTCACAAGGAAGAGATATAATACAACTATCCACAAAATATTGTTGATATAGAGACAAATACACCCACAGGAATGGTAGGTAACCGAAAACTAAACGTTTATCCTCCTTGAATGGTAGCTCCACTGCTGAGCGGATGTTTAAATCTGAAATAATATGCATTCTGAACAGGAGAATTGAAATAAGCAGCAACAAAGAAAGTAAGCGTCGTATTTCTGCTCTCTGAAATATCTTGCCCTATAGATTTCTATTATGAATGTTAATGCAATGCATTAATGTTAATGAAACTTCAAAGTAAAATTCTGTAAATGTAAATAATTTGTGTCCTTTCTTAAAGGTGATTGTTGATACCCCAACCAGCCCCGTGACCAGTGGTTTACCTTTGTTTTTTGTCATCACAGTGACGGCCATCAAACAGGTTAGTTGAATTATGTTCTGTTTATGCCCCTGTCTGCTCCTTTCATCCTTTTCGAACTCTTTTCTCATTTCTTTCTCTCTTTTTATTCACCTGCCGCCTCTATTTTCTCTGGCTATCGCTTAAGCACTTGATGTTTTATAGCCGTGTGTCACTGTTTAAATAATGCCGACCCCAGCCGGACCCCAAAGTCCATCTCGCACGCACAAAACAAATGATCCGGGGGCTTGTCACAACACAGGGGTCCTCCTCTCACAGCTTTAGATGTATTGTTTTAGGATCAACTTTTTCCACCGGCCTGCCGCAAGCTTTTTAGAACAGCACAATGGAAGGTGGACTTCCTTCCAGATCTCTGTGGCCTCACACTGAGAGGGGCTCAGGCCTTAATTGGGCTTTGAAATAAGATCCCAGGGGGCCCGTGTGACCCCAGCCCACTTTGACTTCAAATGTCTCGACTCCCTCAGCTCATTCGCACAGTTTCCATTATTAATACAGGCCTGTTGTATGCAGTGAAAACCAGATTCATTATTTGTGATTTTTTTATTTTTTGTAGGGATGCCCCCTGACTAGTCGACTAGTAGCCGTTCATTTAACCCATTAGTCGACTAATTGCACGTTTATATTAATTAAAATACTTAAATATATACTGAGGAGAATACTGAACCACAATGAGCTTTTAATAAATATAGGCGTACTATATATCCAATTCCGCTCTCGAGCGCACGCATAAAGCTTGCCGGGCATCCTGTTTGTTTTCTTTATTTTTATATATTGAGTTTACACAAACAAAAGTAGACACAACTCGAATGAGGTATTACTGTTATCTGTGTGACCAAAAATGACAAAGTATTTTAAGTTGTTTCCGCTGTTATCAGAGATGCAAGTGATCGTGTCGACGATGTCATGCAGTAATCGCAGTATACTTCAACTTCCACACTCCACACAAACACTTGGATATGCGCCTAATAATAGCGCACATTTATCTAGGTTAACTTTAGAGCGAGCAGCCATATAAAGTTGCTACTTGCATGTTTCAAATGATAAGCCATATTTGAGGTCGACGGATGATAGGCGAACGTTTGGATTTCCTGCCCGACATACGGTAATTACCACAAGGACGCACCATTTTTTTTTCTTATGCAACTAACCGTCTAATAAAATAAAGCCTCTTCTAGTCGACTAACGTTTAGTCACTATTAGGGGGCAGCCCGAATTTTTTGCATGTGAGAAATGTATTAGACTGGCTCAGTCCTCATTTGACCACCTTCTGTTTTCACACACACCAGCATACCGTTCTCACATTGTCGGTCTCTCTTCAGGGTTATGAGGACTGGCTGCGGCACAAAGCAGACTACGAGGTGAATAAGTACCCGGTGACGGTGTTAGAGGACGGGCGGTCAGTGAAGAAGGAGAGCGAGAGGATCAAGGTATCTTTCTGTTGCTACACTCTTGCCAAGTCTCTCATATAACATGCACTGTGGGAGCAGGGTGTGGCACGCTGCCATACTTCACATGTGGAAAAGAAGTATGCCCACTAGGGGCGTTCACAGCTGGGAGTGTTTCCTTGCTGTATATGGAATGGAACAAATGCGCTGTGCACTATGAAACCCTTAGGGTCAAAGACGTTTGGAAGTGTTTGTCAATACAGCTTGCTAGATGTTAATTATTTGTTAAAGACGATTTTTGTAACCCTTTTTGTAGCATACATTACCGTTTAAAAGTCTTGATCAAATAAATGCAACCCTGATGAGCAAAAGATACTTATTTCAGCAACATTAAACTTTGTTACTCACACTCTCATACTGTATTAATACTCCTACACAAGGCTTGACATTAACACCCGCCCATATGCGTGTGTATTTCAGAGGTGGTGTGTAACGCTGTCACTCGTACTAGCCACTTTGGCTGAATTTTATTTAATATACATGTTCAATTGTAGTCTTTTAAAAAACTAAGTGCAATCTAGTGTTGTCAAAAATAGTTTTTTCTATACATATCGATACTGAAATATCTGAAACTCTTCCGCAGGAGACACAATACCAGTTACGCGTTCTCGCTCTCTAATCTCCCAGACAGCGAGTTGACACACAAACCCGTGTCCCTTTACTCACTCGTTTCATTTGCTCTGGATAAATATTGTTGGTGTTACAGGGCTTGAATTTCGGCGTGGGATTGTGCGTATTGAGCATAATTTTACTCATTCCCACAGATTTTGTGCTCAAACCCAAAGTGTGTGCACATAAAGACAAGTATATTGGCTATATAAAATAGTATAACGGGTCCGTGCATCAGGTCTTAAAGTGACAATAGCCTAATATACTGGCTGCCAAATTATGAGACAATATTAAAAATATCTAATGTCAAAATTGTGGACCAGTGAAAATGCTGAACTTTGGAAAACTATTAGCCACATTGGTTGGTGAGCAAAAAAGTTAATGTTAGCCCTGCTTCTACATATTAAGAACAAAAATATTCATCTTTTATTTTTTTATATCCCTAATATCACCCATATGGTTTTTACCACTGATTAGACATCAAGTGGCAATCCAGTATGGTACTAAACTTGTTATTCATAAGTAAATGTTTTTTTCTGAAATTGATTAATTAATAATACTATTAACTTTAAGGCCCTGGAATATGCAAACTTATTAACATGACATAAGGAAAATGTCATTTTTGTAATAAAAAACCCCCCCAGAAAAGCAGCTAACAATAGCCAGTACAAATCAAGGGACACTTGTGGATGTAGCTGTGTTTTATTATTTGCCTTAAAATTCTATATTTTTATTTAGTTATTTGCATTTTGAATCCGAACAAACCTGCAACCCACCTGTTAAAGAAGCAGGATCTTTGGTTGTGTCTAAGACTGAGTGCTGTGTGTGTGGTTAATGTCGAAGTGTTTCTGCTCAGGTGGGCGATGTGGTTGAAGTGGTGGAGGACGAGATCTTTCCCTGTGACCTGATACTGTTGCAGTCCACTCGAGAAGATGACACTTGTTTTGTCACCACAGCCAGCCTGGATGGAGAATCCAACCATAAAGTGAGCTTTTGCACCTCTTACTCAGTAACTACATGGGCACAAATATGATTGTGTTGACATGATTATTGATGTTATTTTTAAAAAGGTGTCTTTTTTATTTCCTTGCTCTTTTAAATAAGAATCACCTGGTGAGGTTTACTTTGCTTTAGTCAAACTCTTTAAATAGCTGGCCCAGATCTCCTCGTCATCATCATCATCATTCTTCTGCTCTTCATCTTTCTCCCTCTTCCATCCGTGTGCATTTGCGTGTTCAACGCGACCTGGAATATTAATTCGCCTGTCTTTCCCTCAGACACACTACACGGTGCCAGACACAGAGAAGGACCTACAGGCTCTCTCTGCCACCATTGAGTGTGAACAACCCCAGCCTGACCTCTACAAGTACGAACTCCTTGATAGCACAAACACAAACCTTTCACTGCCACCAAAACATGAGGCATTGTGAGCGTACTGCAAGAAAACCTCTTTTGTAACATGTTTGATTTCAGATCAGCAGCTAACAGTGTGGTTCATGGAATGGTCAAACACTATCTGGCCTCTCCGCTTGAGTAATAAGAACAAACAGACCTTGAAACAAACACAATCTGCAAGTTCAGAGAGGCAGTCCAACTGTAATAGCAGTTTTTTGACTCCAGCGCCCCCTATCACTAAGCACATCTCTTTATAGCCTCTTTAGGTGGAAGAACATTTGCATTTCTGATTTCTAGAGCACCAGATGTCGCCTGCTAAAATTCAGTCTAAAAAAAAAAACCTTCAAAGGGCTGTTGCCAATATGCCAGACTGTTGGGTCATCACCAATGAGCATCTTCCTTGTAAATGGTTCATTTCGTACAGGGCTTATTTGCATAGTGTACTGTATTGGAATACAGATATTATCATCAAGCCTCTATAATGGGGAAGGAGTCTATATAAAACAATATAAACGCTAATGCATGTGCATGCATGATGGCGTCAGTAATTTGCCGCCGTGGCCCTTGGCTGATGAATGTTTTCAAGTACTCTTGATTATATTCATGTTACGTCTGCGCAATCGTTCAACCTTTTTCCATGTGTTTGTGTTTGAGAGAACATGTATAAGCCTGCTTGACTGTAGCTTGTTTGCTTTTCTGCAGGTTTGTGGGCCGAATGCACATTTACAAGGCGGAGCAGGAACCAGCAGTAAGGTGAGACTGTCTTTGGTCTGTTCCCATGGGCCCACTATATCCCACAGTACCTCATAGTCACTCCAGCTCTGTCTTTTCCCTTTGCATTAGCCTCTGATCATTATTCCATCGACCCGTAACGCCATAGCTGCATTAAAGTAAAGCCGGCCTGGCAGATTTTCAAGCCCTGCACGCTCTTCCATTTGTCACTGGGCCGTTTGAAATGTTTTTATGAGTCTCTATGCCGTGTCCTTCACAAGAGCGGGCTTGGCCAAACTTGCCTACATACTTCCAGCAATGCTGCTCATTAGGAGCCACTTTAACGTGGGATTGGATGCCAGAATGTGTCTTTATTGACTTAATTGTTTGTTTTTATGGTTTAATTTAGATCTTTGGGCCCAGAGAACCTTCTCCTCAAAGGTGCTACGTTGAAAAACACCAAGAAGATTAATGGTAGGTTCCGGCACCTTTTAATTAAAGGAATCTTTTGATGTCGACGAATTATATTCACCCGAATCACTCTTCAATGCCTTCTCTTTTAAAGGTGTCGCAGTATACACAGGCATGGAGACAAAGATGGCACTCAACTACCAGGGCAAATCTCAGAAACGATCAGCTGTTGAAAAGTGAGTGACGAGAGCAGTATTATACCCCAGTGTGCAGTAAGGTTCAAAATATTGATTTTCGGATTATTAGCCGAGTTCATTTTAACGAGCCAATATTGATTGTAAATCCTAAGATCGATCTTTTAATCTGTCTGTTTTTTGGTTAATGTGAAAATAGTGTCTCCGATCTTAAACATTAATTGTAACATTATAGTTAAAAATTCTTGAATCATTATCAAATCGCGTGAACCAAGATAATATGAATCAAAACTTAACTGAATAGATTGTTTTCCAGAGTTGATATAACCAATATATATTTATTATCTTTATGCAGAGATTGTATTTATTGATTGTGTTTATTTATTTATCTCCTATAATAAGAATATTGACAGCAACTATACATAATAAATCAAATAAATAGTAAAAGAAATACGAAAAAGAAATTCTTAGCATCTTATTGTGATGTATATCATATGTACTTAATCATCATGTAACCACACATAAACACGTTTTCCTCTTTTTTCCAGATCCATCAATGCCTTTCTGTTGGTGTACCTGTGTATCCTCATCAGTAAAGCTGTGGTGTGTACTACACTAAAGTACGTATGGCAGAGCAAAGAAGGTCAGGATGAGCCCTGGTACAACCAGAAAACGCAGAAGGAGAAAGACACTAATATGGTAAGCAGTCTGTGGATTTCACATCTGACCGATTTGAACACGATTGCATGAATCAATTAGCAACTCCCTCTATATCATCAGTCATTCTTGATGCAATTAATATAAATTACAAGCTAATCTGGTCTCTGGTGGCTGTGGTCTGCTCTTACACAGATCATACTTAATAAATCATAATTAGGAAATAGCTTTATGCTTCTTTGCTGTTCCAGACATTATATTGGGCTTTGAAGAGACTGAATGCAGGTTTTCTGTCTTTATTTCAGTATTTGAAGATGTTTACAGACTTCCTCTCCTTCATGGTCCTTTTCAACTTTATAATCCCCGTGTCCATGTACGTCACTGTGGAGATGCAAAAATTCCTGGGCTCTTTCTTTATCACTTGGGATAAAGACTTCTTTGACCCGGAGATCCAAGAGGGCGCGCTCGTCAACACTTCAGACCTCAATGAGGAACTTGGCCAGGTTAGACACAGGATTACTTTGGCATATCTGACTCATATACTGACTGGTTTGTGCATTCATATGTTCATGTCATTCATATATATATATGGAAATGTGTTTTAGTCTGAACGGCCAAATGAAAGTAAACCATGACATGAACATAATCTGAGCTGTCCCTGGCTCTTCCATTGGCAGTGAGGTCATGGATCATCCTTGGCTGGTTATGCAGATGATTGCTCTAAATTACAGGCCATGCTTCGTTAAACTGATTTATGCAAGCAGACTGGTTTTGTCACAAATTAATTGTCCGTTCTTATCGTTGGACCCTGTTAATTTGGAAAGGAGTGGTTTATTGCCTGGGTTTATAGTTGGTAAGGTCAACATTTGTCTGCACCCTGCAGGTGGAATATGTATTCACAGACAAGACGGGCACACTGACCCAGAACAACATGGAGTTCATCGAGTGCTGTATAGACGGCTTCCAGTACAGACACGGAGACGAGCTGGACGGCTTCACTGTGACTGACGGGCCTGTGAGTAAACTGCAGCAGAAGGCTGGACTGGTGAGTTACACTCATTCTGAGACCCAAAGGACCTCAGATGGGATTGATTTTACACTTACCGTGTTGTTGAATATGTTCACCTCAGTATGTAAACTGACTGCAGACCTTTTAAATTATGAATCCACTGAGGGTGAGATATAAACAGTAAACATCAAATGTTTGTGTTGGCAGGCTTTGAAGGACTTAAGTTATGTGTATTAACTCCTTTTTATAATACACTAATATGCTCCATAAACGGATGGTCTTTTGAGAGCACTTCCTCTTTCTCCTCGCCCTTGTTAGTTTGTTGTGCATATGATCTGTATACTAGGGTTGTCACAATACCAACATTTTAGCATTCAGTACTAATACCAGTGAAATTTTACTGTTCTCTACCAATTTTGATGAACTAATGTTATTGAACTACCTTTATTTAACCCTTTAAGTCCTTGTGACCATATTGTGACAAGTTGTGACATATACAAAAGTAAAGAGTCATTTATCCAAAACTATAGCTAAGAGAGTCAAAAGGTAGGTATCGTTTGATAGAAAACGTTTAGTAAATATAAATTTTCATTTCATTTGGGCATTCTCATACTGAGAAACTGCTGATAAAAGACAAAAAAGTGTGCTCAATGGAAATTGTACATATCTTTCTTATTTGACATGCAATAACTCAGGAAGGAAATAAGGTAGGAGGACAATTCTTTTTTTTTTTTGTGAAGTTCCCCTACATGCGAGCTGCAACTAGATCCAATTTTGTGGTGATAGCATAAAGTAATCAAACGTTACAGCGTTTGGAACCAAGCTGTTTTGTTTAGCCCTTGACACCTGGAAGCCATTATTTAAATTGTTGTTTTCAGACATACACAGAATATAATATCTTTATATCTAAGTGATGGATCTAAAGTTTTGTCAAAGCCCAAAACAATCATGCTGCTTGTATTCTACCCAGTGAGATCTTTCAAATGACATATGACTCATGACTATCTGAGCGGTATGATGTTTTTAACACATTGCAGTACATAATACAAAAAATAACATTTTATTTATGTATCTATCAGCAAATTACTCAGCACTACTTTGGAGTTAATCAAAGTTCAGACTCTAAGCTTTCAAATGATACCTAAGCTTTTCAAATGATACCTGATCAAGGCAGTAGCTTTGAAAAATATGATTATTAACTTTTTCGTAGCTAGGTGGTGCCCGCCGGTGGTACACTTGGTTTAGAGGGACTACTCAGAAACAAGAGTTGATCAAAATGATGCATTAGATGCATTACTTTAAAATGATTTTGTGTTATTTCATTCAGTGGTTGCTTAGTAATTTAATTATGCGAATATAATTGTTATTTCTTTGGGTTTAAAGTGTTAAAAAGTTACATTACATTAATTACATTACATTAACACTACCGTTAAAAAAATTGGGTTAAAAAAGCGTCAGTAAGATTTTTTTTTTTCTCATGTTCATCAAGTTTGATCCTAAACTTTTGAACGGTATAATAATATTATAATAATATATTATTATAAATATTAACAAATGAAATGAAAACAATGGTGGAAGCTAAATTATTCAATTATTTACCAATTAGTTTTCATGTTTAAAGGTACTTCAAGTTTTTCCAAGTATTGAAGTAAACATGCACTAATATGCACAAATATGCATGTTCATAAGCAGCATGTTATTTTTCTGCCTGCTAGGAGAAAGAAGAGTTGTTTCTGCGGGCCCTGTGCCTTTGCCACACGGTGCAGGTCAAGGAGGACGGAGCGGAGGAAACTCCTAGGGACCAAGTTGATGGTGTAGATGGGATGTTTCCTCAGCCAGAGGAGGAAAGATGTTTCATCGCATCTTCTCCTGATGAGATCGCACTGGTGAAAGGAGCCATGAGGTGGGACCATGATATGCATTTTTTATTTCTTCTTGTGGCTGATAATGGTGGGATCGCTGGCACTTACTGACATAACTTTTATTCTGTTTAGATATGGCTTCACCTTTCTTGGTTTGGAGAGTAAGAGCATGAAGATCAAGAATAGGCAAAATGATATAGAGGAGTAAGTTCTAATCATTGACATCTCATCAAACACAATATTATTGCTAATATACTTCTTCAGTTCTTACACCCATGGATGTTTTTAAACCTGGAGCGATATATAATTAGCTGTAAGGAAGATTTACATAACTACGTATTATTATTATTAGTTTTGCGTATTTCTACGTATTATTTATTTAACTTTTCAGGTATAAATTGCTCCATGTCCTAAACTTTGACCCAGTCCGACGGAGAATGAGTGTCATCGTGCAGACCAAATCAGGTGAGCTAGAGATCATTAGTGATGCTTGCTAAGGCTTTTGCTATTGCTCATATGCAGGGTTAGAGATTTGAATTGCATAACTTGTCCTGCACCATTTCTGCTGTTGACATGAATGATAACTTAAACCATGTGACTTGAGGTGAAGTGACCTTTTTAGCGATCAGTAATAGATGGACTGAGCAGGAAAATGCCATAGGTTTACATTGAAGCCGAAACCCAAATACAGCTTGAAATTTTCTTTCTTTCCTTTATCAACCAATAGCTACACAAAAATTATTTTCTTTTTTTATTAGTTTCTTTTTTTTAATTTTTAATTTATTTCTCTTTTTTTCCTGTGGTTTTTCTGTCACAGTTAAAATGCTACATATTATCACATCAGAACGAATAGTTAGGTATAAAAAAAAAAAGGAATAATTTATGCAAACAGTCTCTGTGTGCTCAGAACACTACAACCACTTAGCAACTCCACAGACAGAACATCTTAGCGTTGTGAGTTTTGCAGATGATGTAAGAAGCAAGTTTATGTTGTAATCTGTAACTCTGAATGTCTCTCACCTGTTTATTTAGGGGAGACGCTGCTTTTCTGTAAGGGAGCCGATTCCTCCATCTTCCCAAGAGTCAAACCAGAGGAGGTGGACAGGATTCGGTTGCACGTTGAGCGAAATGCAACGGTACAGTAGATTACAGAATGTTAATGTAATGCAGTGTCTTTCATTTACAAGGATGTTATGACCATATTGACTTTAACTTTTTTAAATATTGAAAAAGCCTAATTGTGTGTTTTTGCTCACCAGGAGGGTTACCGTACACTGTGTGTAGCCTTTAAGCAGCTGAGTGCTGAGGAGTATGCCGTGGCAGACGCTGGGCTGAGGGAGGCGAGACTGGCTCTTCAGGACAGGGAGGAGAAACTCATGGCCATTTATAACCAAGTGGAGACGGACATGAGTTTGATTGGAGCGACCGCTGTAGAGGACCGGTTGGTGACCTAAATGGCTATTTATGCCACGTTTTTGTCTCAAAGAGAAGCCCTGGATAGCTTAACATCTTAACATCTTGTGTCCCAGACTTCAGGAAGAGGCAGCGGAGACCATGGAGGCCTTGCAGGGTGCAGGGATAAAAGTTTGGGTGCTGACGGGGGACAAAATGGAGACTGCCAAGTCCACCTGCTATGCCTGTCGCCTGTTCCAGAGGGGTACGGAGCTACTGGAACTGACTGTGCGGACACTGGAGGATGGGAGGACAAAGCGCGAGGACAAACTTCTTGAGTTGTTACGGGACTACCATAGAAGAGCAGTGCAGGATGCCCCACCTGTCAAAGCAGGGGTCACCAGGTCAGACCCTTGACCTCTTACTGGCTTTTTAGTGAATTTTGGTACAGTTTAGGAATGGAAAATATAATAGGACCAAGTACAGTTTTATTTTATTTTGTTTTAATTTGTTTATTTTTTATCAATATTAAAATCAGTTAATATTGAATATACCTGTCAATATTGAATATAAACCCATTTTCCCTATTTTTACATTTTTGACTACGTGTCACCTAACGCTCATCTAAGTTGATGTTTAAAAACATGAATAAATGTAATAACAAATATGGTATTGAACGAACTAACTTGTAAAGTTATGATGCCTAAATTCACTTGTAGCATTTAAGACAATTGTTTTGAATTTTGACGTTTTATTTTTTATTTATTTAGACAAAATTGTATAGAGTTTTAGTATCAGTCATAACATGAACATAATTATAGGCTTATCGTATCGGCCAGAACTTTATTATGGGTTTATTTAATGACCTCTAATTTACTGTCGTTTTTGTACCACAGGAGTTGGTCTACAGCAAATCAGGAGTACGGCTTCATCATAGATGGTGCTACGCTGACGTTGTTGATGAACCCACCCCGTGATGCAGATGCCAGCCTGTACAGGAGCCTCTTTCTGCAGATCTGCCAGAACAGCACTGCCGTGCTCTGCTGCCGCATGGCACCCCTGCAGAAAGCTCAGGTCACACCTGCAGGCTGACACTTTGGCGTCTCTTTATGGTGCCTATAATAATATGCACTTATACTTTATGAATTAGTTGGCTAAAATTCTCTTTTACTCACTTTAGATCGTGAAGATGGTGAAGAACTCCAAAGGCTCCCCAATCACTCTCTCCATTGGCGATGGGGCCAATGATGTTAGCATGATTCTTGAGGCACATGTGGGCATTGGTGAGATCTCATTGGGCATGCATGTAAACTACTGTTTGAGCTCAGTTTCTTTTTTTCTTTTTCTTTTTCTTTTTTAAGAAATACTTTGAAAGAATACTTGTATTCAGCAAGACAGAAGATTTGCATGTCAAATAAATGCTCTTCTTTTGAACTTTCTATTCATCAAAGAATCCTAAAAAAAATGTATCACAGTTTCCACAAAAATATAAAGCAGCACAACTTTTTTCAATTTGGAAAATAATAATAACTGTTTCTTGAGCAATAAATCACCATATTAGAATGCATTTTGAAGGATCATGGGACAATGAAGACTGGAGTAATGATGCTGAAAATTCAGCTTTTCCATCACAGGGATAAATTATTTTAAAATATATTCAAATAGAAAACAGTTATTTTAAATTGTTGTACTATTATTATTTTTTGATCAAATAAATGCAGCTTTTGTTAGTATAAGAGACTTCTTCCAAAAACGTAAACAAATCCTACCGACTCTAAACTTTTGAATGGTAGTGTACATTATTATAAGTGTACATATCTTCCTTAGCCTTTTTTTTATTTTATTTTTTTTATTTCTTAGTTTGTTCTATTGTGTGTTCAGGTGTTAAAGGTAAGGAGGGTCGTCAAGCTGTGAGGAACAGTGATTATGCCATCCCTAAACTCAAGCACTTAAAGAAGCTTTTGCTGGCTCATGGGCATCTCTACTATGTGCGCATTGCTCATCTTGTTCAGTACTTCTTTTATAAGGTACTTCTGGCATCCAGTGGCCCATGTTTCAATCTATAAATATAAAGGTAGTTATTTTAGTGACTCTTTTAAACCTTTTTTCTCTTCTCTCCCTTAGAATCTTTGCTTCATATTACCTCAGTTCCTTTACCAGTTTTTCTGTGGATACTCTCAGCAGGTATGTGCAAATAAAGGGCCTGTTAGAAGACTACGTCCCAGCAGGTCCCTCTCCTCTGCCTCTGCTCTTGACTTTGCGTCTTTGCTCTGCATTTCTCTCTGCCCTTCTTTGAACTGATATTTATATGTATATCAGTTGTGACCCATCTTTTTCCTTCTTTCTCCTGTAGTATTGTCCTGTCACTTCTGCAATCGATAAAAAAATGAAAATATAAAAAAAGATTAGAAACAGCTCTTAACCAATTCTCAGCTGTGATTTCCTGTAATTGGTCTAATGGATCTTGACATCACATTTTCCAGCATGTGTTTTTGCATATATATATATATATATATATCAAGTGACCATTGCATGTGGCCACTCAGTCAGATTGTGTGCATATGTGTGATGTCCTCATTGTGGTATTAACCTCCCCGGTGCCCCGTCCTTTCCCTCGCTCCCCTTCCCAGCCCTTATACGACGCAGCCTATCTGACGATGTACAACATCTGCTTCACCTCCATGCCCATTCTGGCCTACAGCCTGCTGGAACAGCACATGTCCATAGAGGTTCTGCTGGACAATGCCACCCTCTACAGGTGCCAGTCTGCACTGCAACTCTTTTGCTTATTTAATTTGTACCATGCTGTTGCTGATGTGCTGTGTTTTTATCATTCTTACAGAGAAATAGCCAAAAATGCCATGTTACGCTGGCGCCCCTTCCTCTACTGGACAGTATTAGGAATTTTTCAGGGTCTCATGTTCTTCTTTGGTGTCCGTTTCCTGTTCAGCAATCCAGCACTGCAGGATAATGGGCAGGTTAGAGCTGTTCTGCTTTTTAAAGTGGGCATGAAACAGGAGTCGCAATAGTCTTTTTTTCCCCTCTATTGCGACTTACTATATCCGGGTGAAATGGCTTCTCGAACAAAAGAAATTTGGGTGGGACTTGATTTTGTCTATCGGGAATTGATTGGCTTGTTGGTTTGTTGTGGTTTGCTATTGCCGTGATGTCATGTGATGTGAGTGACAGATTGTCCTGCCCTCATGCAAATAAACACCTCAGCAGAGAAAAGAAAATATGTTACAAGAGGGAGGGGAAGTTATTTTGATTAACGGTTACAAGGGCACCTGAACCATAAAAAAATAGTTTGCAGATAAATAATGCATAATACAGCAATATTCCATGATTTCATGGTGACTTTAAAAACTGTATGAATGAAAAAGCGGGAACTGCATTTGATTTACTCCTTCCTTTTACAGGTCTTCGGAAACTGGTCTTATGGAACAATTGTCTTTACAGTCCTTGTTTTCACTGTGACATTGAAGGTTGGTGGCTTGATTAGTTCGTCTCAAACTTAAACTATAAAAGAAGTATCTCAGATCTTCATTTGTCAGAGACTGACTGTGTTCCCTCTCCCAGCTGGCTCTAGACACGCGGCACTGGACGTGGATCAACCATTTTGTGATCTGGGGCTCATTGGCCTTCTATGTTTTCTTCAGTTTCTTCTGGGGAGGCATCATATGGTGAGGAAACGTTAAAGTCTGCGAAGTTCTTTCTTCTCTATTAAGGGCGCGCTTGATTTTGTCAATCGGGAATTAATTGGATAGTTGTCGTTTGCTAATTGCTGCAAATCTCATGTGAGTGACAGGTTGCAGGAGGGGAGGGATAATTATCCAGCCCTCACGCCTGTGCACACGTCATCAGAGAACTTTTTAAGCTGATATTATATTTGTTGTTAAAAAGGATGCAAATAACTTCAATGTCTTGAATTTAATTATTGAATTGTTAAAGAGTGGATTTCTTTACTGATATTCAGACTACAGATTAACATGCGGCCCACACTTTTTTTTGTGCTGCGGCTTCACTGTACAGCTCTGATTGTAGAATGAAGCAAATATAATTATCAGTTAAGATAAATTAAATAAATTAACCTATGTTTAATCGCATGAGTTAACTTGTCTTACGCTCTTGTTTTCTCTTTCCTTCCCTCTCTCTCTCTCTCTCTCTCTCTCTCTCTCATTTTCTAGGCCGTTTTTGAAGCAGCAGCGTTTGTACTTTGTGTTTGCTAACATGCTAAGTTCAGTGTCTGCCTGGCTGGTTATCATCATCCTCATTCTCCTCAGTCTTCTGCCAGAGCTCCTTTTGGTGGTCCTCCGCAAGCCCAGAGGCCCCCATTCACGACAGGTATACTTCTCCCTCACATTTTTACTCCTCTCTGACTTCCTCAATTCTTCATTTCGACCATATCCATCCTATTCTCCCTTATTCTTCCTGATTTACCTTCTCTTCTGTTCTTCTTTCATCTTACACCGTGTCCTAACCAGGCATGACGTGACGCAGTCATGGCCAATTAGTAGATATTTGATGTTTAATTCACAGTTATGTTGACCAGGATTTTAGGACCAGTGTAGGAAGGCAAAATGCACTGTTGCTTGGTGTGGTCATGGCTGGTTAGCACATAAACTCTGATTTACATGGTAGAGAGATGGTTTGTGTCATTTGTTGCTTTATCACGTCACACCTGTTTAGGGCACACAGTCACATTTAATAATCCCCTGTACCCCCAGCCTTATTTTACCTTTTAGGACCTTACTTTTTTTTTTTTTTATTATTCTTAAACTGTCACTTCTCAAGTGTCTCTTTTCCTTACTTCCCCTGGCTGTCATGAATTACACCATTGACTTTTTTCCTAACAGAACTCTTGCCTTGTTTCAAAGCTCTGAACAGTTTGGATTGTTGGGGTTGGTCAAACAGACAGGAAGTCAATCAGTCTAATTGTTACTATCACTCTTCTTCGATGTCCTCTCCTACTCTCCTGTAGCTTTTTGTCCCATGTATCACTCTGACTTAAATACTGACAAAAATACTTGCATCACTCGGTGCTGCTGTCAGTGGCTACCCAACCAGCTAACATGTACCACAGTTAGAATCTATAAACAATAATTGGACCCCTCCAGTGATTTGAATTATTTAAAGGAAGTGAGCACCCGCTGTAGGGAGTCGCTAATGTTTGTGACACTAGTTAAGCAGCCTTTCAGGCCAGAGATGAGCATACGGTGCTAATCTGCCCCCTGCTTCCTCACAGGTAGGTGTTGCTTCCCTTCCAAGAATGCCACATGTCAATTAAAATGGCTAATGGGGAGAAATTGGGGAGTGCCATTGATGTCAATGTGATGTCATTTATTCAATTGTCAACTTTAATAATGGTTTTATAATTATAGCCTAATGAACTCCATTAGATGAGAAACATGGTCTTTACTGACCAATGTAACTTGTAAAATGTGAAACAATACATTGTGTGTAAATTTGTATTACAGGTGTCTAGAAAGACTGAAAACATGAATAAGAAAAAACATAATTACTCTATTACACTCTATTAATTCATTGTAAAGCAATTTTTTATGAATGACTGCAACTTGTTGAAAATGCTGTGAAAAGTATTTGCAGTTCAGACATTATGCAAATGAGCAGTGGTGCTGGCTTAAAGTCAAGCTCTGCTGAACTTAGTCACATTATCAGCTGTTATTGAAAATTAATGAAAATTAAACAACTATGCTCATTAATATAGAACAGGTGTGTTTATTTGCATTTTACTACAAATACAATTGCAGCTCAGCTCATCAATTCAGAATCTACACTACCATTCAAAAGTTTGGGGTCAGTACATTTTTTTGAAAGAAGTTAATACTTTTTTTAGATGCATGTATAATGTTAAAAAAGATTTTTTAAAAATGTCTTACTGTTCATCAAATAATCCTGAAAAAAATATATATCACCGTTTCCACAAAAATATTAGGCAGCACAACTGTTGTTAATAACAATAAGAAATGCTTCTTTAGCAGCAAATCATCATATTAGAATGATTTCAGAAGGATCATGTGACTGAAGACTGGAGTAATGACGCTGAAAAATCAACTTTGAGATTACAGAAATAAATTACATTTTAAAACATATTAAAATTAAAAAAAGCAATGTTTTAATTTCACAATATTGCTGTTTTTACTGTATTTTTGATCAAATAATTGCTGCCTTGCTGAGCATAAGAGACTTCTTTCGAAAACATTAAAACAAATCTTACTAACCCCAGACTTTTGAATGGTAGTGTATGATTTTTAAAAACATTTATTAAAATTCCTGATAGTTTAATATTCTATTCTACAGACCATAAATGTATTTATGTGGCAATCAATTTCCACCAGCAGAGTTAGTCTGTTTTATAGATACTTATTCATGCTGAGCTGGTCAACTTTCTGATGAATCAAACAGCACATAGTCAGGGTTCTAGTTACTGGAGCTTTTCACTTGCATATTTAATTGCGTTAATCTGCCACATTTCTCTTGTTTCTCTATCTCTACTCCCATAACTTTACTCCCACCCTTTCTTACCCATGATCTTCTTTTAATTTTCCTGTCCTCTTTGGTCTCTTGCCCACCTATGTGCTGTGCCATAGATGAAACGACGTCTTCCTTCCTCTGGGACATCCACTATCTTCATGCTGTCGCAGACTGCTAGCACTCACAGCTTTTCCTGGAGTGACTGAGGTCTCTCTGCCTGCTCCTCTTCTGCTTTTTGTCTCACTGTCCCTCCTCCTTTGGGTTGCCTGTCTGTATCTTCAGTGTCCTGCCTGCCGTCTCTCCACCCGTTTGTCTCTGCTCCCTCTTTGTAAGGTGTTCTTCGCTAGCTCAAATGTGTTTGTCACGGGTTCTGGGTTTGGATTGTCAGTCAAACGGTGTACGTGGTGGCAGTTTTTTGAGTGGGTGTTTGTCTTGAGGCGTTGTGCAAGAATTGTCCCCAAAAGCTGAGCCGCAGTGTTGGGTGGTCCTCAGTGTGCGTCTGTAAGGGCTGCAGGGTATGATGTGGATTCCTTCAGCTGCCTGTTCCAGGTGCCTGCTGTCTCTGCATGCCCAGCCAGGAGAATGCAGCACACAAACATACAGGGTTTCCTGCATGCGTGCTCGGCCCAGCCTACTCCACTCCCCACCCAAACCACTGTGACTTTATGGGTGCATTTGGGCTGCTTGATTCAAAGTGAGATCTTGTGTATGTGTGCGAGAGAGTGTTTGTCTTGTTAGTGTTGGTGATCGCAAAATACAATTTTTCTTTTAAAAGTCAAAAGAACAGAGAAGAAAGGGGCATTTTTAACTTTGACCATTTTTAAAATAAGAATGTGATATTCGATTATTTATTTATTTATATATATATATATATATATATATATATATATATATAGATATATATGTGTGTGTGTGTGTGTGTGTGTGTGTGTGCAATTTTTACACAATACGCAATTATTCTTTCTTTTTTTATTCTATTTTTACAATTTGAAATTAGGTGCTAAATACAGTACAATAGAATGGATTCGGGGTCCAAGGGCAACACCGGTTCTTGAATTAGTCAAAGTGACGCTCAAATGAGTCTCATTGGTCTACAATGCCTCTATGGGTTCCAATTAGAATGTTACCCAAATATTGTATTAAATATATAATATGTGGTATAATATACACTCCCGTTCAAAAGTTTTGGGGTCTGTAAGAATGTTTAAATGTTTTTTTAAGAAGTCTCTTATGCTCACCAAGGCTGCATATATTGAAAAATACAGTAACAGTTATACTGTGAAATTATATTACAATTTTAAATAACTGTTTGTAATGTGTATTCCTTTGATTGGTTAAATTTTCAGCATTATTATTCCAGTCTTCAGTGTCACATGATCCTTCAGAAATCATTCTAATATGCTGATAAGCTGCTCAAGAAACATTTGTTATTATCAATGTTGAAAAGACTTGTGGAGCTTAATATTTTGGTGGAAGCTATAGTACGTTTTTTGATTAATACAACGTTCAAAAGAACAGTATTTATTTTAAATACAAATCTGTTCTAACATTATAAATGTCTTTAGTCACTTTAATAAGTATTTTTTTTGAAAAACAAAATCTCACTGACCCACATTTTTATACAGTAGGGAAGTTAGGATCAATTATTTAGCACTACTTTAAAAGTAGATATAAAAATAATAATTGCTAACTGAATCATTAAGGAACTGGAATCGGAACCCATCTCTTTGTGGGTTTATATTGTGAGTTTGTTTGAGTGTTAGCTGACTTTTGTGTGGGTCACAAAAGGGATGAGGGATTATGTTAGAAAAATGGCCATTATGAATTCTTCCATGAAAGTTAATCTGTATGGAAACTCTAAACACGTTATTGTGCCCTCAAATATGAAATCTCATCATTATAAACATCCTTCACCATGTTTTGTCTTATTTTTAAAGGATTTACTGTACCGCAGTTGTGTGTTTGAGTGGGTATGTGTGTGTCCGATCCATCGTGTTCAAGTGTCTTTCACCACCCCCTTTCAGAAAAAGCCGGGTCAGTCGAATGTTGGGGGCAGCCATTCCTCTCAGTCTTCAGCCAGACCCCTGCTCATGAGAACCTTTTCAGACGAGTCCAATTCTGTCAAATGAACAGGTACAAGACCCCAGACTTTTACAATCAGAGCCCCAATTGAGTGCCTGACCCTAGTCATCCACAAGGGATTTGCCTCGTAGTCGGTGCAGTTCCTCCCCTTGGGTTTAGTCGGGCCCCCTCTGTGGGATGCTTTTAATTTCCTCCGAATTCTGCTGTGGAAATTCTCCCTACCTTAGGATGAACTCACATCGGTTGGCTGAAAAGACATTTAGTCTTTGACTTATTTAAGAAAAAGAACACGCTACAACTCAACAGTGACTGCCCGCTTTGTGTTCCACATGTATATCCCCATTGATTTTCTCCATAGAGATTTTAAAATTCTGCACCTTAGAGATTTAAAATTTCTTGAACTAAACCATCCAGCTCTGAGATTGACAATTACAACATTTGATGCAAAAAGTATTTGAAAATGTGAAAAAGACAGAGAAATTAATCTTTGCGACTAATTTGTTTTCGGTAGCACTTTATTTTAGTGTCATTGTTACATATGTTACATGTAGTTACTATAGTAATAACTATAAATTATGCGTAATTACATGCAACTAACCTTAAACCAAATCCTAACCCTATAGTGAGTACATGTAGTTAATTATTATTACTCGGTACTTAACAGTACAATTACAGTGTAACAAAGACACCTTAAAATAAAGTGTAACCGTGTTTTCTTCTCAGATAAATCACTAATGTCTTTTATGCTTTAACACAACAAAAATCCCATACCAACTAGTATAAAAAAGCTAGGTAGATAGCTTGCATTACTTTGCTAGCCTCTACAATCCCTGAAAGAATAACAGCCCTGTTCCCATTTCCTAACAGACTTCTCTGATTTGGGTTTGGTTCAGGATTGTGTATAGCTAGTGTCTTACTTTACCAGGAATTTTGCAATGAAGCAAGTAATATTTTCTCTATGGAGGTTTTTAATGGGATTTTTACTTTTGAGAATACTGCTGTTGCATTTTATATTAAAAAGGATCAAGAGTTACAGGACATATGACCCTGTAGTATTTTCATATTGTAGTGACGCTACTACAATAATAGACCGCAGTGCAGTACTGTTGGCTGTAAGGAATAAAAAAATAAACAAGCAGAAGGGGAAAAAAAAGAATGAATATTAAATGATCCTTTCAGCCTGCCTGGGGAAGCTCCGCCCCTCATTATGCCTTGCATGTGCTCCTTAAGTAACCTGTGATTGGGTCCGTATTAACTGACTAAACCAGTTTTCTGTCGTGTTGTTCTGGTTAACATCATTTATATGTGTGTGAATGACAACATGAGTGTGGTTGTTTTGTGCAATACTTTAATACATTGAAATGAAACCGCAGTGTCATGTTGGTCTTATTGTGTCTTTTGTTGTGTTGGGTATTTTGTGTGGTGTGGTAGTTTGTAGTTTGGATTCTTTTTATTTGTATTTTTTTGTGACTATCGAAGTTGGCTGTCTAACCTTTGTGGGACATTATTTTGGTTCCAGTGATTGTTCCCCTGCATTAATGCTTCGCATTTTGCATGCTGATACGGGTGTTTTGCATGTTCGCCTGTGCCTGAAGCTTTTGGGGTCAATGTGTGATGGTTGTAATAAGTTATTGGTGAGGCTGTAGATAGGAAGTACTCACCAGCATTAAACTTGCTCTTCTGTTCTTCTCAGCTGTCAGAGGAAACTTCAACTTACACAGACAGGTAAAGTGCTCAATATGATCTAAGGAATGTTCTGGGTTCAACACAAATTGATCTTGGATAGCATCTACGTTTACCGACAAATCCATCCAAAGGAATTACGCCAGTAATGCATTACCAAAAATTCATCTGACAATTCGTTGAACAATTTTGGTCACTTTATAGGACAAATAACACATTTTGTATGGAAGATATAAATGTTAATTATAGACTTCCATAGGTAGTTGCTAATGCATTTGTAAATGCAAAATCAAACGTGAATTATAGGTATGAAAGTTTTTCTGCAAAAGAGAATGCCACAGCCCTTTTACTCTACTTTTGCTTGTCATGTAGCACTGATTTCACAGTCAAGTTTAATTAAAAGCCCATTTTGCCAGCAGTGCATTGCCAGTTTAATGTCTGTGGTAATTGACAGCATCTGAGACGTAGAGGACTTGTTTTAAATCCAGGACATTCCATAAACCAGGATTCAAATCCGCGTTTTATTTGGACTAATAATGTGAGCGAATCATTCCTGACAACCAGATCCTCCTGTGATTAGGATGGTTCATTGGTGCAGATCAGTTTGAATTGATTTAGGGTTGCTATTGTGTACAGAATTGTCTGGGTTTATGTGTTTGGGTTGGTTATATTTGATAAATCAATCAAATAAGAGATCGACACATTGTTGCTATTCAGACTTTAATAAGATCTATCCTCTTCACCTGTTAAATACTTTTTTTTTTTTTTTTTACATATGTGCTAAACAGGTTTGTGTGTTTTTTTTTTTTGTGTGTGTACACCACAGATGGCTGCTGTCACACCCCTCTCCTATAAGCATCTGATGGAGCGCTACTGATGGGCACGGACAGCTTTGGGTTAAGACTCCTGATGGGACCCTCGCATCTTCCAGGGTCGCTACCCTTCCTCCTGCCTGTTTAAATGAAACATGACAATGGAACCACCATAAACTGCTCAGACCAGGCCTTGATCCAGCAGTCCTCTTTCCACCTTTTCTGTCATGTCCTTTCACTTCTCTCAAAGCGTCTCATCCCAGAACGATTCCACGTGAACTGTTTTCACAACGTTTTCTGCCCTGCCCTACTGCCATACTCTCATATTGAACCATACCGGGATAAATGTGTCGCTGGAGATGTTGTCTGTAGCGCTCAACTGCTGCAGAATGTACCGACCCTGGTTCATTATTTATTGGCTCTCTTGCATGATCCCCCCGCCCCCCCCCCCCCAAAAAAGTCCTATAAATACCCTTTTCCTTCGTCAACATGCTCTCTGGTTACTTTGTTAGCAGATAGTTGGCCCCTTTTGTGATCGGTTAACAGGTGTGATCACAATCCCAGATCATAGTTTAGAGTTTTGTGATATGTTGCTGTTCGAGATCCCTAAATGTGAGCTCTCTCTAAGATGCTGCACTGAGGGCACTGACCCTATGGGTATAAAAGATGCCTTTCAACAACTTGCTGTTTGTTCAACCACATGGAGTTCTGGGATATCCCACGGTGCCCGACAACTTTGTACATGTACATGTGAAAAATCGTACTAAACGCACTGTCACAGTTTTCAATGTTACTCTTTGTTGAAACGGGGATCAGTTTACAGTTGGATTATAGATAAGAAATGTACTGGTGAAAAGTGGAAATTCTTACTTGATGCCAAAAAAAAACAAAAAAAAAGCGGGCGACCATCTCTCTTCAGTTTTTCCTTGAAGGTGAATTATCCGTGGTAATGGCACATGCTAAGATAAGTCCTCAAAGCTAAGTTAATTGTGTATTTCGGAGTGAGGTTCACTGTTGAGCAATGTGTCAGCTCCAAATACCAGGCCAGAACTCAAAAACGCACTTTCACGTCCACATGTATGCATTTTACTGTTTTGAGGTTACTGAATGAATCACTTTAAAGGGGGTGGAGCTTAGGTCCGTGAAATAGGAGCTGTAGGTCCAATGCCTATTAAAACCAATGTTTGCCCCCTAGTGGTTAGGAGGGAATGGATCTTCATTCTACTTTCTTCACTTCTGAATACATTCCATTTCTACGTGTCATGATTTCATCACCTTTAAGATTATAATTGAATTATTTTATTCTTATTATGTGATTTCTATTTTTACATATTTATTGTACCTTGTAAATGTTATATTTTTGTCAGAGGAATTTCCTTCTCTTAAATTAATCATTATCAGCTTGTGCCAATTGATTTTTTTTTTTTTTTTTTTTTTTTTGCCTGTGCAATCCGCTGTTGAACAGACTGGGTTTCTATATCCTGTAAGCCTGAGCAGAACCTGTAGACCAGCAGCTCTGGGCTCTTTCTCCGATAGAGCTGAAATCTGTGTCCCTTTAATATGAGCGATCTATTCCGTTCTTCTTTCTGCTTGTAGCCCAAAATGGGTGTTAGAAGAGCCAGTGTGTTTCTTGATTATATTTCTCTTAAAACAATGCCATATGAAAAATGCCCCCATTCCAGCTTCAACTACTGTATCTCCAAGTGTGTGTGTGTGGGTTATCCAAGGGAAAGTGGTGTGTGTTAGACCTCTGACTGTGTCATGATGTTAAGCATCTTAAACTCAGCTCCAAATCTTGGGCCGGGTTTAATCCAGCTGTATCACAGCCCAGCATAACCACCAGGCCTTCTTTTCATTTCTGATTACATCATGAATTAGTTTTCCAGAGAAAATATATCAGAGGTCTATTTGCTTATCAACTAGACATGTAAGGCCAGTTGGGGTGATGTTTTAGTGTGAACATTAATCCCTTCTCTCTCTCTCTCTCTCTCTCTCTCTCTCTCTCTCTCTCTCTCTCTCTCTCTCTCTCTCTCTCTCTCTCTCTCTCTCTCTCTCTCTCTCTCTCTCTCTCTCTCTCTCTCTCTCTCTGTGCATGTGTGACCACTAATGCCACCACTGGACTGAACCCTGGTGAGCACATACACACTCACCAAGATGAAGACATTCATGTGTTTGTTCAGCTCAGTTTAAGAGGGGTAAATGGAACTTGCCTGCAATGTTTGAAATTTCCAAACAGACCTTTAAATTACTTCAGAGATGCTATTTTCAAAGCTTATGATAATTCTTGGATTCTCATGTTGCCTGAATATATATAAATATATATTAAATTATTTGATTGTATTTTTAATGAAACTTTTTGAGCCACTTTTTGTAAGAAAAAGAAAATGCAAAAAAAAAAGGCAGAAAAAAGGCAGCCTGATTGTGGAGCGCGAGGCAGGGCTGAGATGTGTTGCTGTGAAATGAATCAGGCACTAACTTGGTCAGCCCTGCTCCCTCCATCATGTCCCTCAGGCTCCAGCTGATCTGAATGTACCTCTCAAGACCAGTCTGTTTCAAACTTTTCTTAAATAAAAGCTGTTTTGAAAGAAGACATTTGTGTCTGATGCTTTACCTTTTTTTTTTGCCTAGGATTTCTCTGATATGTTGTTGTTGTTTTTACTGGGGTTTTTTTCTAATGCTTGTGTAATGCAATTTACAGGGCTTTAAAGTAAATAAAACCACATTAAATTATTTGTATGTTTAAAAATGAATGCGCCATGCCATAGAGACCCGTTAATCGACAAAACAAACTAAATAATTAAAATAAAATATTTAAAGAAATGGTAGCCAGTTACAGGACCTGATGTGATGATGTTTTGTTATTATTTTGTATATTTTTGTGTGTATATAAATATAAGTATACCTTAATAAATAATAATAATACTTAAATAATAAAGTAATAATAATAATCAATGTTTTTAACTGTGAACTTTTATTCATGAACATTAAGGTTTTATGTAGAAGTGTAACTTACGTGTTATCTCAGAATAAACCCTGACAGGGTGATCAGGGTTTTGCATCAGCTTGAAGGGATTTATTCTGAGATATCAACCAGGTGGATGTACATTATCCAGCTTATTACACGGCTACTTGCCACATAAGTAATCAGACACAGAATATTGATCTGAGTCGAAATATTTTATTAGCTATTTAAACACAAAGCTTCCGCAAAGAGAGCAGTTGTTTGCGCGGCAAGTTCAAACTAAACAGACATTTAAGGGATAAAATACAGTCATACCACTTATTACACAGCATTTTTTCGATACATAAATAATTATGGGGATATTCATTTTGATATTTTGATATTGTTTTGAGATGAAACCGTTTTAAAATCGTACCTGTTTGATGTCTTATAATCCAACAGTGTACAAAACGATAGTCGCAAAATGGCAGCAGCTTTTGCATGAAACAAAAGAGAGCGAGTCCACGATACTGGGTGACACTCAATCAAATCAATATTTTGTGTACAGTTATTTAAATAACTAGTTTTAATATTTTATTAGCTCACCAAACAAAACTTCCACAAAGAAAAACCGTTCCTAGCAAGCGTATAGCGCTGCTGACTTCAGTAACCCGGATGAGCCTGTTATCTGTTTTTAGAGGTTGTTATCATGGAATAACATGCCTCTGGATGGTGTGATTGACCAATCAGAAGCAAGTATTCCACAGAACTGTGTAATAAATACTGATATCGTAATAATAATAATGATATATTTATATATTCATACATTTCTACCTAAAATCCGAATAATGTTAATAAGTAATAGTTGAAGTTCATAATAAAAAAAAATAACAAGTAAAATCTTGATAACGTTGTCCATGTTATTTTTGTGGTATTGTCCTTTATTTGTCTTCAGATGTTAAAGTTAATTTCTCCTACTCTCCAACAATTGCAGAGGATGCGTAAAATAAATAAAGAGTGTAATGCCATATGCTATTTCAAACCAGCAGTCTCTCATGGACATAGGATGTGGTTGTAGAAGCATAAATCGTGTGTTCTTTGACAACAATGCCTCTTATTCATGTAGCTGTTTGTCTTTGTGCAATTTTCCCACACGTCATACTTTTCTGTATTCTGAACAATGAAACTTCTTAGTCTTGGAAGAAAAAATAGTTTTGCTGTCAATAGTGATATTCAGAACAGCCTGCCTGTTTGTGTGTGTGTGCTTGTAAGGCTGAGAATGGGTGTAATACAGCATGCAGAGATCCTTTACAGCAGTGAGAAAGTCACTGCCTATGAGGGAAAACCGACCAATGAGGAGGGTGGAGATCAGCAGTGGGCGGGGTCTAAACTCTACAGTGGAGTAAGTCAATGGGGAGGGAGTTGGCAGAGTGTCAATAGTCTGAGTCTAACAGCGATGCAGATCTGACGCACTCTATCTCACAGGAGTTTGCAGCCGGATGGAGTGTGTGTGATGTGTTTTAAGGGAGCAGACCGTCAGCACTGTGGACAGGAAACCCTTTTAATGCGATTCACTTTTGGGACAGGACCTCATCCTCTCTGCCCCTCCCTTGTGTGTGTGTGTGTGTGTGTGTGTGTGTGTGTGTGTGTGTGTGTGTGGTTTTTTAAAGCTGAGATGTGATATTGCAGTGCTTACCAGCTGCAGCAGGCTCTTTGCAATACAGTAGATAATTCCAGATAGCGTTTCCTCCAGCGGGGGCCTAGCTGTGCTGCTGGAGTTTGTGGATGCACTTGCTCCTGCTCAAGGTGACTTGAGGAGTTCATACTAGGCACGGAACTGAAGTGGAGCCTCAGCTGGGATCTGATCTGTGGAGGTTGTGAAATGAATCCTTGGTGGAGTAGGATGTGAGGGCCTGACAGGCCCCAGAGTCAAGTCACTCCTCTCCGGGAACAGCCAGGGAATGGGCTCGGCCTCTCCTCAAGAGCCCCAAAAAGACATGGAGGGCTATTACAACCTTTTGCAGGCAGGCTCGGAGCTGGAGAGCACGCTGCAACGTGAGTATATGTTTACATATGTCTTTAAAACTACCACTTTTACATTAGGAGAGCAGGTTCTCGGGATGTTCACTGGTGTGTTATGTAGTATTGCTAGGATTATGTATGCTATTTATAGTTTTGCCCATAACCTAGATTTGATATTTGATAATCTGCTTGAAAGATGTGCAAGATTCAATCTTTCTGTAATGACATACATTGGGAATTCCAGAACCATATGTTGGAATTCTGAATGGATAAACAGTTTTCTATTGAAAAGCATAATGTTTCCATGAAATCTCAATATTAAGAGTGTTTTGATGGGCTGATATAGTAAGCTTTCAGTTTACAATCATACAATGTGAATTTGGCCCAGCAGTGAGATTGAAAATTGAAGTTGTACTGTCCATTTTAAAAACAAGGCACGTTAAGACACAGAAAGCAGAGCTCCAGTATGATTAA